AAATAAACACGTTTTACACTTTGCACTGCTACAATGCATCACGGTAGTCTTTTCCTGGTGAAGCCCACTGGAGTTGCACATGTAGTCTGCTGTCATGCTGATGATTTATTTTTGTGTGGTTTCTTTTTTTGTTGTTTTTTGCTAACAGGAGATGGAAACCCTAAGGAGAGCAGTCCATTCATCAACAGCACAGACCCGGAGAAGAACCAGCAATTTGACGGCAAGAACATGGCCCTGTTTGAGGTGCACACGAGCGCACACACACATTAAATGATAAAGCTGCACCGCTCGCACAATTCCAACTCTCATTAGAGCTGGCCAGAAAGGCACACGCACACAAACTATAGTGATTAACAGAATAAAAGAGTCTGACAGTAATTAATAAGGATAATTAGTGTTTGAAGGGCAGGAAGTCCCCAGGACATTGAACTCTGCAGGTGGATGATAAAAGCATGTTAGAGGCTTTTTCAGGAAAAACACTTTTACTGCATTCAAACTCTATTTCTGTTGCTTCATGGCATTTATTTTATTATTTAAAGTGATAATTTACCCACAGATGTAAATGACCTCATTTACTCTTTCTCCGTCATGTGGTTTTAAACATTTACATGTTCATTTTGTCTGTTGAACACAAAAGAAAATACTTTAAAGATGGTTGCTGGCACGCATTGAATTCCATAGGAGGCAAACAATTACTATGAAAGTCAATGGGTGAAAGCTACCTGCATTTATTAAAATATCTTCACATGTTCGACAGAAGAAAGAAAGTCAAATAGGTTTTTAACAAGTGAAGATTGAGTAAGAGATGACAAAAATACTATGAGTGAACTATAATTTTAGTAGAAATGCTAAAAACTGATTAAAGTATTTATGAGGGGAAAAATAATATTTTAACCCAAACCAAAGCGCTGTAGTAAGTGCTATCATTCTTTACTCTTTATTACTGGTTATAGCATCAAATAAACCTATATGCCTTGAATTCATAAATGTAATTCAGCTTGTGCTGTTGAATGATTAATCATATCCAAATTGAAAGTTTTTAATTGCACAATATTTTTGTGTCACTATGTATAACTATTGTGTATTTGTAAAAAAAAAAAAAAAAAAAAAAAAAAAAAAAACACGAAACGTTTTTTTTTTTAATTATAAAATAAATATTTTTAAATATTGTATTTGGTTTTGTATATAATATGTATAACTGTATTTATATATACAGTTAAAGTCAGAATTATCAGCCCCCCCCCCCCCTTTCCCCCCCCCCCCCATTTTTTGTTTAACGGAGAGCAGATTGTTTCAGCACATTTCTAAACATAATAGTTTTAATAACTCATCTCTAATAACTGATTTATTTGATCTTTGTCATGATGACAGTAAATAATATTTGACTAGATAATTTTCAAGACACTTCCAAACAGTTTAAAGTGACATTTAAAGGCTTAACTAGGCTAATTAGGTAAACTGGGCAGGTTAGGGTAATTAGGCAAGTTATTGTATAAAAATGGTTTGTTCTGTAGACAGCCGAAAAAAAATTAGCTTAAAGGGGCTAATAATATTACCCTTAAAATGTGTTTTAAATAAATTAATAACTGCTTTTATTCTAGCTTAAATTAAACAAATAAGACTTTCTCCAGAAGAAAAAAAATATTATCAGACAAACTGAAAATTTTCTTGTTCTGTTAAACATCATTTGGGAAATATTTTAAAAAGAATTAAAAAAAACTAAAGGGGGCTAATAATTCTGACTTCAACTATATAATATATATATATATATATATATATATATATATATATATATATATATATATATATATATATATATATATATATATATATATATAAATAAAAATAAAAAATCAACACATTTTAATAGCCAATAAGTGGAATCATACATATTCTTCTAAATCTACGCATTTCATATGTTTTAGCATTGAATGGTTTACGTGCTGCATCTTATAGACTAATTTTACTCAGTACTGAACTACAACACCAGGGGTCCGTTCTTCATACTTTGCTTAAATGATTTGGCAGATCAGAGATCTGTTCATCTTGATGACTGATCTCTCGCTATTTGGTTCTTAAAACAAGTTTGGGAATCAGATCTGAGATCAATGCGTGTGTTGTGAAGGACAGATCTATCAATCCTCGAAATCATGATCAGCAATGCAACATTGGCTGAAGGCACTGCAGCGTAATGACATCATCTGATTAAAATTCAATTACCCATGTGAGCAATTTTTTTAATAAAATGAGCAGTAAACGGTTTGTTAAATATGATACGCAATAACTTCACACATTTGTTGTGAGCTGCAGGCTTTACACTTTCATGTGTCAAGAGTATTTAGCAATTTATTTGGTTTGACATTTTAGAGTGGATTTTCTTTATTATAGTAGCCTAGGCCTATTCTAATTTCTTAATCAGCAAATTTAAATTAATTTTGCATCAAAAAAGCATTTTGATATCGGTAAAGGTGTCTGCAACATTCGCAAAACATCAAGTCACTGTCATTTTAGCCGTTAAAACATGCATGACTGCATAAATTATTACCCCTTTAAAAAACAAACAAACAAAAAACAGTTGAATAATGTGCATGTCTATTATCATAAATAAATTGTAAAGCTGTGTCGGTACCTTAAAATAGTAGGCCTTTGTATTTAAAAAAATATATATATATATATAAACAAATATTATTAATTATTTAATATTAAACATGACTAATTAATAGGGATGTAACGGTATCAGAATTTCACGGTTCGGTAATACCTCGGTATGAATGTCACGGTACGGTATTTATTGAATCATTTACAGGAAAAAACAAAACTTATGAAAATACTCCAAAAAAGTGCCAAAAGTGTCAATGACATACAAATTAGTCATCTATCTGTAAGCTTTGAAACAGGAACTTCAATTTTAATAACAAAAAAATATTAAACCATGTAAAAAAATTAAGTTTCAATTTAGTATTGTTGAAAACTCATCACATTCAACATTTAATCACTCACTCACTTAGATAGAGATGGGTTTAAAGGAAAATTATCATATAACTATAATCTGGTAAAAGCTGGTATCTCTGGGCATTTACAATGTCCCCTGCAACAGAAAAAAACCCTCTCATTTGGGACTGAGGTTTCTGGGACAAGAGAGATATGACTTGGCCCAGGTTGACAGCAGTGGGTAACGTTGTGCATTGTCTTTCCCCCACTTGAGAGGACAAACCATGAGTAAGATAGAGGTCTCATGTCTGCATCAATCTGAACAGTGTGCAGACAACACCGCTATTCAGTACGCGCGCAACAACACAGCTGATAAGAACTTGCGCGACAACACAGCTGATAAGAACTCACGCGACAACACAGCTGATAAGAACTCGCGCGACAACACAGCTGATAAGAACTCGCGCGACAACACAGCTGATAAGAACTCGCGCGACAACACCGCTATTCAGTACGCGCGCGACAACAAAGCTGATAAGAACTCGCGTGACAACACCACTATTCAGTACGCGCGCGACAACACAGCTGATAAGAACTCGCGCGACAACACCGCTATTCAGTACGCGCGCGACAACACAGCTGATAAGAACTCGCGCGACAACACCGCTATTCAGTACGCGCGCGACAACACAGCTGATAAGAACTCACGCGACAACACCACTATTCAGTACGCGCGCGACAACACAGCTGATAAGAACTCGCGCGACAACACCGCTATTCAGTACGCGCGCGACAACACAGCTGATAAGAACTCGCGCAACAACACCGCTATTCAGTACGCGCGCGACAACAAAGCTGATAAGAACTCGCGCGACAACACCACTATTCAGTATGCGCGCGACAACACAGCTGATAAGAACTCGCGCGACAACACCGCTATTCAGTACGCGCGCGACAACACAGCTGATAAGAACTCGCGCGACAACACTGCTATTCAGTACGCGCGCGACAACACAGCTGATAAGAACTCGCGCGACAACACCGCTATTCAGTACGCGCGCGGCGACAACACCTGCTTTAGAGTTTTCCAGCTCTTTTCATCCCCGCTTCTAGCAGCACACTCCATTTCCGCATTACTGGATCTGTAGCGACAACAGACCGCAAGGGATGATGGTCAAGCATGGGCTGATGGGAATTGTAGTTTTCGCTACTTCCCGTTCGCTTCATTCGCCTGAGCAAATTTTCTCAGAAGACCTATAGTTTTACCGAGTCATGCGACTTCGGTAATATCGAAAAAAATTAATATTGCGGTATGATGGTATTTACAATACCGTTACATCCCTACTAATTAATATAAATTATAAATGTATATGTACACTTTTTGACTATTTTACTTTATTTTACTATTTTCCTAAGTTTATATAACCTATAAGTTACTACTGTAAGAAAATATCAGCATTTGTTGCATACTTTCAGTGAGGTCTGCACAATTCTGGCAAAAATGTGAATCACAATTTTTTTTTTTGCTTAAAATCAAGACTACAACTTTCTCATGATGCTGTAAATGTAAAATAAATGTTAATATGATTAGCCTATTATTGTTGTTAATTCTCAAACATATGGTAAAACAACAATAATAATATTATTAGGCCTATGTGTAGATCTACTGTTGCTTAAAATGCTAAACTTTGTATAGTCATTATGGAGGACTTCGTGTGTAGGGTTTAATCGAGATCGTGGTCTTTTTTCGATTAATCGTGCAGCCCTACATTCAGTATTATCTTTGCTTAAGAAGACCCGATCTAATCCAACGAATAAGCCTGCTCCCAAGCAGGTTTGTGCTACAAGAACTGTTGTTGTGACAACTTTTGGATGAGTTTTGAAGAACAAAACGATCCTGGGGTCCGTTTTATCGTACGTGGATTACTCAGTTAGCTTTTTTTTGGATATTCACGATTTGACACGATCCAGGATCGTTTCGTTCTTCAAAGCTGATCCGAGAGTTGTTGTCATAGCAACAGTTCTGCTAGGTCAAAACTGATCGGGAGCAGGTTCAATTCACATAAACAGGATTAGATCGGCTCAGTTCAAGCAAAGATAATACAGAAAGTATGTTCCTAATTCTGATATTTTCTTACAGTAGTAGTTACACTTGGGAAATGGTACATATTTTTAACTATATATTTAAAGTTATAGTTATTAATAAAATAAATAAAGTTATACATATTAATAAAACGTATGCAATCTGCACCCTCGAAATGAAAGTACAAAGACTGCCACCTGGTGGTGCAAAGAGAAAACTTATTGATATGAACTTTTTAGATCGCTGTAGTACAAATTGCGTATAATAGAAATGCACAATATGTGACTTTATTAAAAGCAATAATACATTTATGCAGTCATAAACTTGTTTTGGCAGTTAATATGCCAGTGTTTTGATGCTTTACAAAAGTTGCAGACGCCTTTACCAATATTAAAATATCAAAATGCTTTTGTAAACAACCAGTTATTCTTTACACCGATTAAAAAACAGCAACTATAATAAAGAAAATCTTTTCTAAATGTGGAACTAAATACATTGATATGCATTGAAATACATGATGAATACTCTTGACACATGAAAGTGTAAAGCCTGCAGCTCACAACAAATGTGGAAGGTTATTGCATGTCATATTTAACAAACCGTTTACTGCTAATTTGATGTAATTTTGCTCACATGGATAATTGAATATTAATCAGATGATGTCATTACTCTGCTGTGCCGTCAGCCAATCGTTGCATTGCTGATCATGATTTCGAGGATCGATAGATCTGTCCTTCACAACACATGCTGCGATCTCAAATCAGTTTATCCAGACATTCTAATCTGATTCGCGAACTTGTTTGAAGAACCAAATTAGCGAAAGATCAGTTATCAAGATTAAAATATCCAGGATCTGCTAAATCATCTTGGATCATTTAAGCGAGGTACGAAGAACGGACCCCAGGATTGTGTCAAATTGTCAATAACCAAATCAAGCTAGTTGAGTAATCCATGTACAAAGAATGGACCTCAACTTTTCAATTTCCACATCAAATTCAGCGTTTCTGCTCAAATGATCCGCAGATCAAATCAATAGCTTAAACCTTTTTTTTTTCTTTTTTTAGAAAAGGCAAAAAGGTCAATAAGTTGTAATCATACAAATGCAAAGAAACCATAACAAAAACAACAAAAAACAAAACAAAAACAACGACAATGTAGTTTTTATAATTATACAGTTATAATAGAATATAGTTACTTATAATAATAGCTTAAAACTTACTATAATACTGTTTGTTTATTTTACATTTTGGTTTGTCTGATGCTACATTCTTAAAGGTACAGTTCACCCAAAAATATATAAAAAAAAATAAAATAAATTCCAACCAACTAGGTTGCTGTTGGGTCCTAATGCCCCAGTAAAAGTGAAGGGGACACTACACTGTCAGTGGGCGCCGTCTTTTGGATGAGATGTTAAACTAAGATCCTGACTCTCTGTGGTCATTAAGTCCCATGGCACTTCTCGTGAAAGAGCAGGGGTGTAACCCCGGTGTCCTGGCCAAAGTCCCTCTATCGGCCCTTATGATTATGGCCTCCTAATAACCCCCATCCACCGAATTGGCTCTATCACTGTCTCTCCACTCCACCAATAGCTGGTGTGTGGAGAGCGCACTGGCGCCGTTGTCCTGTGGCTGCCGTTGCATCATCCAAGTGGATGCTGCACACTGGTGGTGGTGTGGAGAGACCCCCCTTATGATTGTGAAGCGCTTTGGGAGTATGGCCATACACAATAAATGCGCTATATAAATACACATAACATTACATTATTTACTCACCCTTTACTTGTCAGAAACATCTTTTTTTTTCTATTGAACGTTTTGAAAACCACTTCCAAAGTATTTGATGTTCCTACTATGGAAGTCAATGGCTACCAGTGCCTGCAACATTCTTCAAAGTATCTTCTTTTGTGTTCAGCAGACAAAACAAGTAAAGTAGTAAAGTAGTTTCAGTAAAGTAGATTTTCATTTTTATGTGAACTTTAAATAATAATCATTGTTGCTTTATTCAGATTAAAATTGTGTTATATTCCTGCGTTTGTCTTGAGTATATTAGTTGCTGCTGACATGGTATCGCATTATATATTGATAATCTACAAGATACCTAGTGGCACGTTTCATTTTTGTATTTTTTTTAGCTATCCTAAATTTTAAATGACACGTCTTAAAACAAACACAGCTGAGAGTCTCACCGGCTATTAAAGAGCAATAACTCGCCTTCTGGGCTTGTCATTTGTAATCTGTAAATGTAAACATGACATTTTAGATGAAGAGCTCCTTGAATTATTTAGCGCTTACAATATTTGCTCTGTATGTGTGTGTGTGTGTGTGTGTGTTTGTGTGTGTGTGTGTTTACTACAGGATGAGATGGACACGATTCCCATGGTATCGTCTCTTCTCAGCAGTCTCGCCAACTACTCAAACCTGCCCCAAGGCAGCAAAGAACATGAAGAGGCGGAGAACAATGAGGGTTCACGCAAAAAACCTGTCCAGGTACACAAACACACGCTTACAGCACGCTCTCAAAGCAGCGGATATTAGAGATGCAACCGTGCAGATTGCTCACAGTTCGGTTCATATCACAACGCAGGGAAAAAAACCCATCTGAATATGAGAAATAAGAAGATACAGGCTATAAACAAGTCAAATGATCTGCCAGTACAGTGAGAGAGTTATACTTATTAAGATTTATTGTACTTAAAAACAAATTGGGTTTTAGTACACTAAACGAAATGTCTTTTTGGTGGGGTAAAATCTGTCGAGACAAACTTTGAGGCTGGCTTGACAAAGCCTGTTGGTAATAGTTTATTTAGTTTAAACAGTTTAATTAGCATGTTATTAGCATGAATTAGCATGTTATTAGCATGATTCTAGCATGAATTAGCATGTTACTAGCATGATTCTAGCATATATGTTATTAGCATGATTCTAGTATGAATTAGCATGTCACTAGCATGATTCTAGCATGAATTAGCATGTCACTAGCATGATTCTAGCATGAATTAACATGTCACTAGCATGATTCTAGCATGAATTAGCATGTGAGAAATAAGAATATATGAATATGAGAAATAAGATGATACAGGCTAGAAACAAGTCAAATGATCTGCCAGTACAGTGAGAGAGTTATACTTATAAATATTTATTGTACTTAAAAACAAATTGGGTTTTAGTACACTGAAAGAAATGTCTTTTTGGTGTGGTAAAATCTAACTAGACAGTGAAGTTCGTTGAGACAAACTTTGAGGCTGGCTTGACAAAGCCTGTTGGTAATAGTTTATTTAGTTTAAACAGTTTAATTAGCATGTTATTAGCATGAATCTTGCATGAATTAGCATGTTATTAGCATGAATCTTGCATGAATTAGCATGTTATTAGCATGATTCTAGCATGAATTAGCATGTTACTAGCATGATTCTAGCATATATGTTTTTAGCATGATTCTAGTATGAATTAGCATGTCACTAGCATGATTCTAGCATGAATTAGCATGTTATTAGCATGATTCTAGCATGAATTAGCATGTGAGAAATAAGAATATATGAATATGAGAAATAAGAAGATACAGGCTATAAACAAGTCAAATGATCTGCCAGTACAGTGAGAGAGCTATACTTATTAAGATTTATTGTACTTAAAAACCAATTGGGTTTTAGTACACTTAAAGAAATGTCGTTTTGGTGTGGTAAAATCTAATAAAGTTATTCTTATCATTTTTAAATTGTAAGATTAAGTGTCAAGGATAACTAGAATTGTCAAAGTAAATATTTGATTTGTGTTCCCTGCTGAAAAATCCAGCTTAAATCAGCCTAAGCTGGTTGGCTGGTTTTAGCTGGTCAACCAGGCTGGTTTTAGAGGGGTTTTGGCCACTTCCAGGCTGGTTTCCAGCCATTTCCAGCCTGGTCTTAGCTGGTCAGGCTGGGAGATGGCCAGCTAAAACCAGCTTGACCAGCCTAGCCAGGCTGGGAGCCCAGCCAAAACCAGCTATGTCCAGCTTAAACCAGGCTGGTCAAGCTGGTTTTAGCTGGATTTAGCGGGTCATTTTCCAGCCTGACCAGCTAAGACCAGGCTGGAAATGGCTGGAAACCAGCCTGGAAGTGGCCAAAACCCCTCTAAAACCAGCCTGGTCGACCAGCTAAAACTAGCCAACCAGCCTAGGCTGATTTAAGCTGGATTTTTAGCAGGGTTGGGACCTGGTGTGAAGATGTGTGAATGGATTCAAATAAGTATTATGATTGGAAGACATATTATTATGAGGGGATGGCTTTCAGTAGGTCCACCATCATTTCAAGAATGGGTTACAGAACTGGGGAAGGTGGCAGCATATAAAAAATGACATATAGAATACGAGATAAATGGGATGTTTATCAGAGAAGATGGGGAAATTACTTGGCATTCTTGGAGAAGGAATAAGGTCATTGTGGTGAGACACACACCAAAAATGTAATTATTTATTTATTTTTATTTATTTATTTTTTATTATTATCTATTTATGTTTTATTGTATTGCTACTGTTCCTATGGAGTTTAATAATAAGTATTTGTGTTTACTGGGTCTATGATAGCAATGCTTAATGACAGCACAGCCGCTGTAGGGGAGGCATAAGGGGATGTTAAAAAGAGGTAAAATGTGTAAACAGATTGTATTGTGAAATTATTAAAGAAAAATAAAATAAAAATTAAATCATAAAAAAGTAAATATTTAATATTTACACATTTGCTTCATGTAGTAAATTAAACGAGTGGCAGTTAAATATTAAAATTCATTTAGTTGTAATATTTAAATATTTTCTAATCATTGCAAACTCAGTAATTGTCATGGTTGGGGTTTGGGGAAAAGGAGCGAGGACTCAATTGCAGAAAATAATATGGTTTTATTAATATTAAAGTACAAATTAAACAAAAAGGCAAAACAAACTACGCCAAGGGGGAAAACATTACTAGAACACAAACAAACTTGGCCGAGCTGGCGAGACAAGACTGGAGCAGGAACACAGGGGGAGTACGACGAACTGGCACAGGACAGCCAACATGAGGAGAATATAAACAGAAACAAATGAACACAAACAGATTAACATAATTAACTAATAATGGGTTAACAAGGAGGGTGGGACTAGACAATAGACCAGAAAGCACATGACACAGAGACAATGTGCTCATATAAAACAGGGAAAGAACACGCAGCCAATGAGATAACTTATTAACCACGTGTTCACAATAAAAGGACAAGACTGAAGCACGCGGCCACAATGTAAACACAGAGCTACGTGCTTGGACAAAAGACGCAAGACACGAGCACACGATAGATGAACACCTTATTGTGCGCTCACACATATGCAACTCGCATGTCTCATCTCAGCGTCAACCAAAACCGAAACCAACTAGACGAAGACGCTGACAATGAAACAGCGTGATGCCGACAGAACAAAACACAAACCCGAGTACAAGAGTGCGTGTTCGAGGCACGCAGAGACACACAATGACTGGAACAGGACAAGACAGAGCTAGTGTCCGGATTCTGCCACCAAAACAAGTATTTACAAGACCAGAGTGGCAGAAAGCTGACAGTAATATTAAGTGCATTTTATTAATTGAAATGTGATAATGGATGTGTTATTCTCAGAATGTTTTGCATGGGACTGAATTAAGAGTAAAATATTTAGAAAATAAAAGCAATCTTAGGTGTTTAAATTGAAGAGAAAGACTTGTTAGAGTTTCATCATCATTAGTTTGAAGATTAAGAAGATTTGAGTAAGTGTTTTTAGTTTTGCGGTTACCACCTTTCAGAAGAGTAGCACTCATGCTTTGGATCTTGAAATTTTTTCAACATTAATGTTTGATGCTTCACTCGAAGAGCCATAACTATGCTCAACTAAAGTGAAATAACAAATTCCAAGACAGTGGAAATGTGTGTTTTATTTAAATTTATGACAGATGTACTAATTTGTAACTAAAAAGATTTATTTAAATTATTTTTGTTAAAAAAAGCAGTGTTACTTATGCTAAAACATGAACTTGACATTACTTAATTAATTTGAATAGATATAGACTCAAAATTAAAGATAAATCAATTAACTTTTACTTCGTTAATTTAGGAGTGTTAGATTAAACCTTAAGTTTACCAAACATAACAGACTGTATTTTGTCAGTAAAGAAAATGTATAAGAGAGATTGAGCTTTTATTAATGGACTTCTCACAGGTCAAATAAAGTCCTAAAAATACAAGGCTGATCTTAAAGTATGTCTATCGTTGTAATTAAGCTAAAATTGCAGGTAAAATACCTCACTTTTGGCTTTACTACTTAAGTGAAAAAGATTAATAATCTTAAAACAATCATTATAAACCTTACACAATCTGACCTTGCATATTATAACGATATTAAAACCAGATCAATACAGTTTCTTTTCAAAATAAGACAACGTGGCGCAAAACATGAAAATAAGGGCTGTGCTGGTCTGAAAATAGCAACAAATCATGCTATATGTGGCTTGTGCCTTTTTGCGTCGGGTGTATGATAGGGCCTTTTGTCTTTTGGTGTTTGATTAATATTAAATACACAGACATCAGGAATGAGATGTGTTCACTTTAAGACAATCCACAGATCCAGCACACTGAGAAAACTACAGACAATACAATTTGATGGATATTAGCGCTGTTTAATTGAGGACAGGGCGACCCAGTGGCGCAGTAGGTAGTGCTGTCGCCTCACAGCAAGTAGGTCGCTGGTTTGAACCTCGGCTCGGCTTGACTCGGTTGGCGTTTCTGTGTGGAGTTTGCATGTTCTCCCTGCGTTGGGTTTCCTCCTGGTGCTCCGGTTTCCCCCACAGTCCGAAGACATGCGGTACAGGTGAACTGGGTAGGCTAAATTGTCTGTAGTGTATGAGTGTGTATGAATGAGTGTGTGGATGTTTCCCAGAGATGGGTTGCGGCTGGAAGGGCATCTGCTGAGTAAAAAACGTGCTGGATAAGTTGCCGGTTCATTCCACTGTGGCGACCCCGGATTATTAAAGGGACTTAGCAGACAAGAAAATGAATAAATAATTAAGTACATAACAAATTGGATACTATAGTAAATATGTTGCAATTTACTACAATGTAATTTAGACATGTCATCACAATCAATATCAACCGAATGTGGCAAAATGTGCATAGAACATTAAACTTAACGCAAAATAAATTAAACAAACGCAATTTACTTATATGTATATGACTAAGGAAGCTGTACTAAACAGTTCAATATTATATTGAGTATAGTAGCATCAATAGCGGATATCACAGGTTTCTGTCTAGTTGATTGCCACAGGTGTGAATGATTCAGCTGTGGCCAGACGGAGTGTATAAACATAGCAGGATCACAGATGTGACTCGAACCTGTGTGTAAATGACGGCTCGTCTTGCACTTTTGACCTGTGACCTGATCTCCCTTGGTCCCTCGCTCTCCCGTAGAGAGCAGCTCATTAGAGACTGGCCTCAGTCATGCTCATCACCACCCT